ATGTAGTTTTAACTTGGCATTAGTCTTATTGTATTGGGTCTGCTGTTCACCATGTGGACATGACGGTAATTATTTTATTCCAACAACTTGCATAATGCTTAAACTTTTTATAGTGCATGCAGACAAGGTTTAAGTCACTGGAACCACAAAAAGGAGCCTCATTTATTTCTGAGCATTCCTGAGGGCCACATTCCTTTCTGGTGAACTTTCCAGGGGCCATGTGCCAAAGGTGAGCAGAGCAAGGAATATTCATTTTACCAGTATGTAGGCTGGTTTCTACACGAACTCCCACATGCCCCTCTGTCCAGGCAACAAGAGGTATTATCAAAGTTCAAGGACATATTCCAGCCAGGTTAAAACACTGAAGAGAAATATGAAGCAGAACCAATAGAAGCTATGGCTGGAGAGAGTCCTGACAGCCAGACAGAGCTCTGCATTTGGCCCTTACATCTGGTGTTCCCCACCCCTTGCACAGCAGGGTTCCACTCAAGTCAGTATGTATGTACAAACACATAGCTCAGGATGAGTCTCTGAAGTTTTCTAGGACTAAACACTCCTACCACCAGAGACATTTTGCTGCTTAACACTCCACTGTCCTGCTACACCATCTTTTCCCTTCATCTACCCTCCCATGGAGCCACCTAAGGCAGGTTGCTCAAAAGCAAGACTAGCCCTGGCACTTCCTCCTTTCCTGAAAGTATGCCTCTGGCCTTCCCTTTGCATACAGTTAGATGACCAAAAGTGAAGACAGGAACAAGAGAGTTACTAAGGCAGTGTGATGGTACTGAGACCTACTCTGTAAACCTTTCTTCTGTTCTAAAGCTAGCTGGAAACACTACCTCTGCAGGATTCTGGCATGTCTCTGCTTCACATGGAGGAAAGCAAGCCTGCAAAAGTATGCTTTTTGATTTGCGCCAAACTATACTTTCCCCACAAGCTCTAAAGTACTTTTGCAACTTTTAAGAATGTTTGCTTTTTGGTAAGGCATGGAATGAATATTGGTGTATTATTTTATTTTATTTTTTAAAAAAATACAAGGCAGGGGATATTTGGGAAGGGCTAGGCCTACAGGCCGATAAATGGTTGTATCCAGCTAAGACATCCCATTAGCACAAGGACTTCCATCTGAACAGGACTTCTTCCAACTCCTTTCCTTGTTTATCCCCCTAATGATCTGCTACAGAGTAAGGGAGGGGAGAATCCAGAACAGATTTTGGGGCACAAGTCCTTGCACTAACGTGACAACTTTGCTAGATCAAACTCTGTGTTCAATTTGATAGTAGTACAGATTGCAAGAGAGGTGGGTAAAAGAACCTACTGCAACAGCTCCCAGGGCCTTACGTCAGCCTTCACCAAAAGGGTTGTGATGAACCTATGGACCACCCTCCTCCTAATCTCTGGTTCAAGCCCCCTAAGACATCTTTACCAGGGAGTTTGGCTCTGCCTGTCATTTAAGCTGCCAAGAAGTTCGTGTATACAAGCTCCCTCAACCCAACTTCCCACGCTCACATTGTTTCATTCTGGCGGCTTTTGCAAAGCTGGAGGTGCATAGCGTGAGAGCATTGCTAATTTACCCTATGGGAAGTTGTGTTTTTTCTCCCCTGACTACTCAGTTTGCCTAAATTATGACCAAGTGTGACATACATGTAACAGCAAGAGGGATTAGTTGATGCTGGTTGGCCAGGAACCAGAATAATGAACTCTGAATGGAAATATATGATGAAAGTCAGACCAAATCTAACTTCTCTACATGAAATCTGAAGTCTCAGTTGGTTACCCATGCACACTTCATTGCACGACTATAGAGAAAGGTAGGGTAAAATAATGGTATGCGGCAACCACAGAACAATTCTAAAACATGGGATGGAATGAGAGAAATGTGCTCTTAAGACCAGGTTCTAAATCAATATTTGCTTGCAAGGTTACTTACAAGCCATTATAGCATCTGTAATTATTAGAACCAGATCTATTGGACTAAAACTGCAAATCATTTTCTAGGAATGGGTGGCCTCTGGGTACCATTACAAACATACTTTCTTACAAAACTTGCTAAAGCAGTGTGATAGCATCTAATAGTTTGAAAAACACTTGTTACGTATGCTTCTAACAACTAATAATTTCCTCTTTTTTTAAGGAATAAATTTAGGCATTTCCCAGCATTTTTGTTCCTGTACATGAGCCCTGTTAAAGCTGTACTCTCAAAAGTCAGATTATACTCTGACAACTACATACAAAGGCTGCTTTTTCCACTCAATTATGGGATCATGAGTATCAGTTAGACAGGGCTCAAACTTAAAAAAGGAATCATGCTGAAAGACAACAAACTTATGTATTTCAGAATATATGCAGATATTTAGGTATCACAGTATTTACCTTTGCACTGTCTTTAAAGTTTTTTTTCATGTTTTATTGCTTAAAAATTGTACAGACGTTTTATAAAATTGTGGCATATGTTTTCATTTAAAAAAAAGGTTTGAGGACTGGGAGTCTCAAAGTACCTGGAAGTACAATCTCCATAATGTACTCAGTTTTGTTTCTTTTTAAAGAACCACTAAGCAGGAAGAAGTCAAATCCAAGATGGCTACCTTACACAGATGGGTTTTAGGCCAACAACTAGTTGCATCAGAGGGAAATGGCAAGCCATTGCTCTGCCAGATTTCAAGTGACTTTCTTCTTCCATTGCAGCCTTGTATGACACAACCCACATTGTCCAGAGGGCTGGGAGGATCCTGAATAAGCTTTTTGGTGATGCATAAGATTCAGAGAGAACAGAAAGAGGAAGGTTGGCTGCCCAAGCTGCCCTTGGCTCAGACAACCACTGGATGCCATTCAACATTTGTGAAAATTCAACAAGTACAACCAATACACACAAAGGAAGTCTCAAAAATAGTGTGTGTCCAAGCTTCACAGTTGCAACACTTACAAAATTTATACTGAAACTTACTCTCCTTGGAAGTAATTTTAGCACAGCTGTTTTATGTAGGGTGCCATTATACAGTTACGACCTGAGGAATGAAGCATCTGCTGCATGACTTGAAGTTGGCTCCAACTGCTCAGATGTTGCAAGCTGCTCGAGCCAAGGCCTACCTTTGCTTTGAAACATTTGCACACAAAGAGTGTCCTAAATATTAGAACTTACCACCAGTGAAGGTTGCTTTGAAAGTGCTCCAGGAGGTTGTAGTAGTATGGAGTATAGCTCCTGCTGTAGAAGCTGAAGCAATTCTTCCCTTAGCACTACCACTGATGCAGCACAAGAAGCTGAATCCTCACCAAGAGGCAGGGAAGAGAGCAAGCCACTCTGGCTTGCTGCAATTTCCAGCAGCTTCTTCTAGTCATTGAAGAACTGACACGAGCACATATATGGCTGTGCTCTCCCACTTTCACATACTAAAACAAAGGTAAGAACCGTTTCAAAAGTGCTCCAAAATTCAAACTTTGAAATCTGCAGATTTCAAATGCTCATAATCATGGTGGAAAAGACCCATGTCCAAATACAGTTCAGTAATAAAACACTGCAATGCATAGAAATTTATACTGAAAATGTAAATCTGCTATGGAGGGTTCTCAACCTTCTGAAGCAGATATATGGTGCTTAGGCAGGAGGAATTGCTGGGGGGGGGGAGGAGAATTCCTCCATGATTCGTTTATGGAAGACTTAGCTGTCAGTGTACTGATATCCTCATAATTGTGAAGCAAGAAGCACAAGTGGTTTTAGATGGTTCATGCATGGTTAGGAGGAGACATCTTAGGAGAGGCTTTTCCTCTTCAGTGATGCCAAGGGTCCTAAAAGAATGAAGCCCTAGGTAGTATCTAGCTTGTCTATTGGCAAACATGGCTCAGTGTACCACAGGCACTGACACTTCCACCTGTCATCTTTAGGTTTTGGAAAACCAAAAATGTACAATTTGCCACAGCAAATATACACAGCACCAAGACAAGAGTGATTGGAGGCTACTAGTTTCAGTCACATTGTTCACATAAACAAGTGTATATATCTCCCCCTTGACTAGATCAGGGTGGTTGTATTTAAATATGATGTATGTAAGCCTCTACTCTTTCACAGTAAGAAGAGACATGGATGTACGTACGTGTACCTATATGCATGAAACTGTAACAAAGTTCAAGCTTTTGCACTCGGGCTGTTTAAAGACTGCCCTGGCCTTTTTAACATAGTACACAAGACATTGTGGAAATTGTGTAGCATGAAATATATTTTGTAAGAATCCAAACCAACAGGGTGAAATGAACAAAACATATTAAAGTAGCCACAGTTAGCTGTTCTCTAGGTTATAAAGGGTATCATTGACATTTCAATACCATTTATAGTTAAGTAACTTCATGTCGGATGTCACATCTACCAGTTCAGAGAAGGCTGCCAATTCATTAAATATTTATGTACTTAGAGCACTTACTGTGTCTTTCCTTACAAGTTCAACTAATAGAATCAGGCTGTCCATTGTAAAATACTCAAGATTATACCATTAACGCAATAATATGTTTGCTAGTCATGCTACAACAGAAGGTTTTATTTAGGTCATTTAGAGAATTCTGGCAACTGAACTTTTGCCAGCTCATGGACATAATCTTCAAAGTATAGGCTGCATGTAACTCAAATACAAGTAATACTTTAATAGCAATAACTTACAGATACAAACTAATGATGAACTACAATTTCACAAAGAATTGTAAACATTTTGCACAACTGTCAGTCCTGTCTTTTAGCAAAGTGCTCTTTTGATGATAAATAAATTAAACAAACACATAGCTAGAATGGACTACTTCCAGACAATACAAAAAAAGGTGTTTCTCTTTAATAAGTCTTGTAAACATATTTATGGAGAAAGCCATAAAAGTGTCTTGCAGGCCAACTATACTTACATACCTGGGCAACAAAATCGTCTTCAAAATGCTTTGGATGTCATTTAAAGTTTAAACTGAATACAAGTACAGTGGGTATCTCAGGGGTACCTCTTTAGTCTCATGTCCCTGAAATAAATGAGTTAACTGTGACTTATCGGCAGTTGTGTCATTGAATGGGGTAGCAAAGGCTGGAGTCCAAGAGCAGAAGGTGAATGAGCTACAAAAATAGAAAGATTTGCTGGTCAGCCTAACTAGAAGTATAAAAAAATATTACTTGTGAGTACAAACCCAACTGCACTGATATGGCTGGGATACCAGCAAGCGGCACCCATTTCACCAGCTGGTACTAGCGCTCATTTCTAGAATGACAGTGCCCCCCCCATGTCTTTATACCCTGGGCAGTGCCTGTTACCAGATGAACTCTTTTATACATACAACTTTGCAGTTTGTGAGGAAGGTATCTTATTACAAAAATGCCTAATCCCACTGAATACAGTTCAAAACTATGCATAAAATGGGCCCACTGCAGCAAAACGACAACAAAACTGTGTGGTATCTTAAAGAGCCACAAATTTCATTACGGCACATCACATTATTGTGAACTACAATACTTTTCAGATGAATCTGCAGCTCCCTAAATTATGGCTCGCTAAAGATTTCATAGCATTTAAGATGTCATGAGGCTTGCTTTATTATAATATGAAGCCCTTTACAATAAAGCCTTATTTGAAAGATGAAAGCTATTTAAACTCTGTCTAATTAGGCCTTCCTTTCGATTTAAGGAAAAGTTTCTAGCTTGACATAAACCTTTTGTGTATGCAGGATAACAGAATTGTGGTGAACTTTAAGTGCTATATAACGAGTATTTTTCCCCCATAAAGTTTTGAATACAGCATTCCCGTACAGAAGTCCATAAGAACATGCATAAAAAAAAAAAAGAATTGTGAACATTTTTAAATGTAAAAAGGTGAGCATGAAAATGTAATTTGGGGAGGAAAGATCTGTGGGTCATTATTCAGAGATCCTCTGCTACAATAAAGAGCCCGAGATATTGTCAGTTTCAAAGGCATGGTCAAAAAAAAAAAAAAAAAAGCCGTAACACGCAAAAGGCCTAAGCTTATGCAAGGCTATCACTTATTTCCCCAAACTAGGGACCAGAACTTGCCAAACAAAACAAAAAAGGTATGGTGTACCTATGCACACATGGAAGCAAAACCAACAGCTTTGACATCCCGACTTATGGGCTATATGCTATCATGAGCACAGAGAATATATGGATAGTTTTTGCTTGCTTTCCGAGCAAAATATTTTTTATCAACCTCTCTCTGCAGCAGAGTACTAGGGACAACAACCTGAAAAGCTAGAATGTATTTGTCATCTAACAAATTTCTATCCTGCCTTTTAGAAAAAGTCTCACAAGGTGGCAAACAATATAAACGATAAAATATACAAAATATTCCAATCAAACACAGAAAAACAGTACAAGAATTTCCCAAGAATACCAGACACAATAATGAGTGTCTTTTTTTTGGCTGCCTGTGGGTTGCATGGTGCCCAACCCTGAGCAAAAGGGTGCATTTCACATTTTCTTCTCTCAAGTCTATGAAGTAATTATGACATGCTAATGTACCTACCATCCATGAAATTATGCAGAGCATTTAGCATTGTCGCATCCTGGGGTACATAGGCCGAGTAGCCCATTTCTTCTAACATTGGTGGAGAAAGCCTGGAAGGCTGGACTGTTGTAATAGGAGTAGACGAAGAGTGATTGGGGCTAACGTGTTTCTTGTGGCGTGCTCTGCAGTTTTGAAACCACACCTAGGCACAAAATGGAAAGACACAAAAAGATGCACATCGTATTCGTTATCTGGCATTTAACTACATCAAAGAAACAAAGTATTTAAAACCATTGAGGGCCTCTTCCATATAAATGCCAGTGCAACTTTTCCCCTGTGTGTGCTCTTTACTGAGGCCAGGTAGACCCAAATTAAAAATAAGATACATCGAACTTTAGTACAACCAACAAGTTGGGGGAGCTTCTAACATGGGCTCCTGGTGTCAGTGTTCACCACGGGTCACTAATCACTCACATTGCTGCTGGCACATGCAAGACAACCCTAAATTATGTTCCTTCAGCAATGTGAAAGTATGTGATGGAAGACATTAGATGTGCATTTTCTTCCTAAAGAAACAAACAAACAAAAAACAAAATCAATGTTTCAGGACTGCTGTAAAAGACATCACACAAGGTCTACTCTAGCTAAGGAATACTGATCAATAGAAAAACTGTTCTTTGGAGCTTTATGCTGCTGAGAAGCTCTGCTCACAGTACTTGTGAAGTAACTGCAGTACAGTTACCTGTATCACACGCCTGCTCAAGCCTGTTCTTTCTGCCAGTTTTTGGAGTGTTTGTGCATCTGGATTGTTGTCCTGAGCAAACTGTGCTTGCATTACCTGGAAAATGCAAGAAGTATTTTTTTATTTTTAAACTGTATTTTTTTTTAACGTACTAGCCAGACTGCATAAGTAACAAGATGCAGTCATATAGCTCCAACCTCCAACAGCAGTTTTGAGGAGTGCATTGTCCACATAAAAGACTTCTAAACCACATCAAGGCAGGCTAAGCTAACCCAATGACCAGATTAGCTCCAGCACTAGAATACAACATTACGTGAAAGAAAGAAAAAAATCAAAGCAAGATTCCAGCTCATTTGTTACTGAGAGCTGGTTTCATGTGACGACATCATCATTATTCAATCAGATCATATCCGTTTTATGTGACACTTGTATTACAAAAATGCACCTTCATGTGGCAAGAACTAGTTGTTGCCCTATCAGGGCCTCCTTTACAAAATGTTTGCAAATATGAACAATGTTAGTATGAAGCAGAACGCGGAAGAAATTAGAAATGGCTATACTAATTTTTGCAAAGCCAAGGCACATTAAGGCACATTCATAGCACATATACACCACAGGGCATGGTTAAACGTAACCTCCTGGTGAAGTTACCAGGCCCAAAAGTGTACTGTGTGAATCCTACTGTGAAATGATTTTTGAAAATTAGCTTTTACTCTTCCCTACTTCTTTCAGGAGCTTATTCAAGTTGAAAGTGGATTTTTGATTAGTGTATATTATTGTTAATTTGATATTTAGTTCTGCACTGATAGTTCAGGAACGCACAGACAAACTATAGTATGTCATAAGCCTTTTCAGATGAACATTATAAAAGAGATAAAGGGCCATTACTTTACATTTTTTGAATTAAAACCTCATGGCCATTTTGGTGTGGAAGGATTGAAGTTTAATTGAGTCAAGATACTTCTACACCTAGCTGTAAACTACTGGAGTTACTGATGGTTGGGTAGACAAGTCAACTGAATATTCAGTTGTTGATATCAGTACCCCAAAGTTATGACTTATATAAACTCAAATGGTCAATATTGTAACTGGACTTCCCCTTCCTTTCCTTCCCTGTGTCCCAAAACCTGCTCCAGAGAGTTGGGGGACGCTACAAATATTTGAGGTGGTGCAGAGAGCTACAGGGTGAGTGAAAACAGGGAAGTCCTGTTACAAGAACAGAAATCTGTTGCACAATGGGATGAACATCACTAGATGCAACACAATGGACTGAACCCAGAGCTACCTGAGTGAATTTTCATGCACGAAATATTCCTACTCCTATAAAGGGCAAAGAAATGAGATTCCTGTCAATTCCATTAACCACTGCAGTCCTTTGAGAAAATTGCCAAATAACAACTCCAAATTAAAAAGTATTACATGCGTTTAAGGCAATTAAATGTTTGCTACCTAAATATTTGGTATTTTTAGATGTCGAAAAAAGAGGTGCTGTTTACAATTTTAAAAGTAGAAGAACTAGACCACTGTTAGGCAAACTAAGGCCCAGGGGCCAGATCCAGCCCATGGACAGTCCTGGAATCAGCGTGTTTTTACATGAGTAGAATTTTATTTAAAAAGCATCTCTGGGTTATTTGTGGGGCATAGGAATTCATGCTCCCCCCCAAATATAGTCCGGCCCCCCACAAGGTCTGAGGGACAGTGGACCGGCCCCCTGCTGAAAAAGTTTGCTGACCCCTGAACTAGACTCAGTGCATAAATAGTCCTATGGCTCAGATCAAAACACCTGTTTACGCGCACGCAAGTGCTTTCCTGAATCTGCTGAAGCTAACCTATGTCATATCGCCTGAGCAAAACTTCAAATACTGCGTCTGAAGCTCCTGTGGTATTATTTAACAGATGCTGGTAGAGGTGAGGAAAAGCTGTTTTGAGGGCTAAAAGCTCTGCTGTACATATGGAGCTTCCTGTGTATCCATTGCACTACCTGTTGCAACATTAAGGCTGCAGTCTTATGCCTGTTTACATGGCAGTAAGCCTCACAGAACTCAGTGGACTTACATCTAAGTGGACATGTCTAGGACTATATGGAAGGCAATTTTAACATTCTGAACAGACAGGCCATTGCTTCTCACTAAAAACTTAAACAGCCACTTTTATATGCACATAATAATGTGGATGTTATAATCCAAAACTAGGTTATTTCCCACATATGTAAGTATTACCAAACTGAGTACACCAGAAATAAATATTTTGAATAGGAACTGAAAACTTTTGTGCTAGCAAACTTTAGATTAATTTCCCCCTTTTTCTGTTCAATTTTTGCTTTCTAATTGTTTTTTTATCAATAGAAATGTACCTTATCCTGTCTTATTAGACTGCTTTTAATTTTAAGAGATTGTAAAGCAATGTGGAAGTTGGCATTTTGCCTTAAAAGGGGCAACTTAAGATTCAATGAACATAAGATTTATTTATGCTTATTTGGCAGCAATGGTACTAAGTTATTGGACAAGAATGAATTATAAAGCAGAAAGTGTAAATAGGCAGGTGCTAGAGTGGTTGTGATAAGGAACTGCAAGTTTATCTACCACAGAATAAAAGTAGTTAACGGAACTCAGGGGTAGCATAGGAGAATCCCCCCCCCCCACAGAGCACAAAGACATCAGTTTTGCAAAGTTCATACTGACCCCACCATTGCTAAGCTTCAGCCTCTGCTTATCTGAACTTGACAGTGATGCCTGTGCTGAAGAGCCATGGTTTTGATTGCCACTTGGGTTTGGCAGCTATGGTGAAATGCAAGACACTGAAAATATCTGTTTCCTGTAAAGTTATATTCTGCACATTTTCTAGGACTTCTCTTCATGTTACACAGAACTGAAACTATTTAGTCTCCTATTATAATTATGTGTAGTGATGGAAATGTCTGGTTTAATGAATTTCATCAAGTAGTCAAAACAGATCAGCATTTACATTTCCACTTTACAGAATTACCAGCTGCCTTCTGGGAAACAGAAACGCTGAAGAGTAACTATTTCACATGGAACAACAGCTAACACTTGCAAGAATATTCCAGAAACATGCTGTGCCTTTGACACCAGGAGAAATATCTGCAGTGGAGAGAATTTCTTCATAACCAGCTATATTTAATATAATTATTAAGTGATGCAGAGCATAAAATCATTATCCTCCCACCCCACACCAACAACCCACAGCTGTATTTCATTAGAGGCATTGTACCATGCCAGGGCTCTACCTGAAGCTGATCTGCTGTGAAACTGGTCCGCGCCCTTTTTGCTGGTTTTGGGTGATTAATGTCTTGTTCTGTTAGCAATGCACCTTCCATACTGATACCATTACCTGAAATGAAAAAGAGGACAAAGTCGAAGTTTTGACAGTACCAACACCAGTCATTAGTTACAGACGTTATGCTAAAATAGACTTCTTGCATTAAGGATATACGTGAATATGGAATTATCAATTTTTCATTATTTTGCAACTCTACATAATTATCTTGAGTTTGTACCAGATTTGGTATTCTATTTTTTAAGCATGTTTCAGATCAGGGTCCTGGTTGCAAGCGCAGGCCTTCATTTTTATTTTGGGCGGGGGAGAGGTGTAGGAAGAGAATCCATGAACCACCAAACAGGAATATGACATGGCCTTGATTAAAAACCAGTTTTATTCTGAATCGAGTAGAGAGAAAGAATGCTAAATGCTATGGACATTAAAAAAAAAAAATCAAGCTCCTTATAGTTCTTGTCAAGGGCTAAATTCAGATCATTTAAACTACAATCCAAATCCCAAGTGGGGAGCAGTAGAGCTTAAAAGAAGCAGAGTCACCAGCAAAGCCTTGCCATTCACACTGGCTGGTGTGGAATGGGAAGAGGGAGCATGAAAGTTGCTGCGGCAGAGCTGGTGCATCAATTGGGCCATCATGTGATGGTAGTGGAGTTGGCTCAGGGTCCAGCAGATCCAGGGTGAACCCAGCCCTTCCCCAACCCCGTAACACTCTATTATGGAGCTCTCCACAGTCTGCCACCAACAGAGATCTTGCTGCTGGCCCCTTCCTCCAACTAGCACATTGAGTGGGAGAGATGGTTCTGAGGAGAGTATGGGAAAACTATAGACAATCCAACTCCCACCCCCAAACCTGTCACAAAGGGGGTTTGAATTACAGTGTAACTCTATCCGCCCAATGAGAAATGTTTACTACACCATTTCTTCGCAACTGTGGATCAAATGGAACTACATTGCTTGAGAAGGACAAACATGTACAGTGGCACCTCTGGTTACGTACTTAATTCGTTCCGGAGGTCCGTTCTTAACCTGAAACTGTTCTTAACCTGAAGCACCACTTTAGCTAATGGGGCCTACTGCTGCAGCTACACCATCGGAGCACAATTTATGTTCTCAACCTGAAGCAAAGTTCTTAACCCAAGGTAATATTTCTGGGTTAACGGAGTCTGTAACCTGAAGCATATGTAACCTGAAGCATATGTAACCTGAGGTACCACTGTAATGGACCTGGGATACCATGCTTTGAAAAATCTGCAAACGTAAGGAGCAACAGTGGTGCCCCCCTTTTTTTAATGAAGTGCAAACATAGCACCACTAGCATCCACCTACAAGCAATTATGGCAATCTGAAGTGGCCTGTGTGGCATGGAGAATTTTACTTTGCCAATGCCACAGATTAAAAACACTGGAGGAAAGCAGAGGAGAGGTAAAATGCTCCTTAGAACAAGAGTGAAAACTACAGATGACCAACTCCTCATGCAATTGCATGCATGCTACATTTATACATTAGTTACAGAGAAAATGATCAAGTTAATCTGGTTTCCAGAACCTACTGTGGGGGGTGTGTGTGTTTTTCCCTCCACATTAAACAAACAAACAAAAAAAGGAATACAGCCTAGGGACCTAACATCAAGAAGGAGAGTTACCATTTTCAACTTCTCGTTTCAGATTATCCAACATGCAGTCATAATGTACCCTACAGAGGACTTTCTCTTCCACCAAAGCAAACTCCTCCCCTGTGGAAAGCTGCCTTTTGCAGGAGAAGCAGGCAAAGCATGCCAGGTGATACACATTTCCCTTAGCTCTTCGGACCCAGTCAGTGGAATGGATATGCCTGCCGCAGCGAGAACAACGAGTTCCATACCGTCTGTAACGAAAGAAGGGAAGAGAAAATAGCAGCCATTCATCATACAACTGCCACTCAAGTTAGATTATGAAGCTACATTGCGGGTATTATGAAGTTCATCATAAATGCTACTAGTCTCATTGAAAGCTGGGATTTGCTTAAGTTCCACTCAACTGCTTCAGAAAAAAAGGAGGATTGCCTTACTTTGCAATTAATGTTTGAACTTTTGAGATGACGTTCCCTTATGCATTCTTGTGAGAATCATAAGAGATCTCATAAGGACAAGTCATGCCGCTTTGAGGAAAGTCAGCCCAGGAGCCCTGTTATGTCATACACATGGCGTTACATGAGATTATATCTTGATGTAGCAGGGGTATCTTTTTAAAAAAATGAGTTTAATACCTGCTATCCAAGACAGGAAGTGTTGAGTCAGGCAGAACCCTACACCTTTTCATTCTATAGCTTTCTTTTAAAAAGGTGTAGGCTATTCCTCCTTACTCCATACATATATTACCACTCTGTGTCCAGGAGATGATAATTTATTACCATTAAAAAAAATAGGAGGGCAACTAATCTTTGATTCACGAAACTTTGTACAATAAAAAGCCCAACAAAAAAACAGCACAAAAACAGCAATGAAACTACAAAATAACTCAGCAGGAACAGTCCATACAGCTAGGCAACACCATGGAAAGTTCTTTCAGCAGTCGGCTTAGACAACTAACCAAAAGAATGTGATATTCTTATGAGATGGATAGATACCTCTGATCTAAAGAGTTCTAAGAGTCAGTGGAACCATCAAGACCTACATTGCTTCATCAAACTCAACTATGAAAAAAACAGAGGGAAGCCATAGTAGCGTTTCCCCTCTTTAGCTCAGGCAATGGAGGGAAATATGCAGAGAAAAGCTGCTCTTTCAGGTACAAAGAGCCTAAGCCAGAGGTCGGCAACGTGCGGCCCACGCTGGCTGTTTAACTGGCCCACGAGCCACCCCAGAACTGAGCTGCCCGCTTGGCGAGTCCTGGAGCGCTGCGCTAAACCAGTGTGGGGACTCACTTCTGCAGTGCCGGAAATATGTCTGCGCACACGCAGATGCCGGAAATCGCAGGCGAGAACCCAGCCCATGGAGGGTTCTCTGCAGGACTGATCCAGCCCAGGCAAGGTAAACTGACCCCTGGCCTAGGCCATTTAGGGCATTAAAGAGGTAAAAAGCAGGGGGACGGGACGTTTGCAATACAGGCTGCATTCACATGGCGGTTCATTCCATTTTAATGACTATTAAGTTCCATATTATATTTGCATTTTCACACATAAGCCACTTATGGAACTATAGTGGAAAATAGTGCAAGCTTTGTGCTCATTTCTGGGTTATTGGCTTTTGGGGGCAGGGGGACGATCTGTTTATAAAAAAAACATGGAAATGAGGACACTATACTCCACTATAGTTCCAGTTGTGTGAAAGCTAAATAAATAGTATTAATAATAAAAAATTATTTATACCCTACACATCCTGCTGCGTTTCCCCAGCCACTCTGGGCGGCTCCCAAGAGATTAAAAACAGAATAAAATATCAAACATTAAAAGCTTCCCTAAACAGGGCTGCTTTCAGATAAAAGTCAGATAGTTGTTTATTTCCTTGACATCTGATGGGAGGGCGTTCCACAGGGTGGGCACCACCACTGAGAAGGCCCTCAAATATAATTTGTTAATTACCGTATTTTTCGCCCTACAGGACGCACTTTTTCCCCTCCAAAAATGAAGGGAAAATGTGTGTGTGTCCTATGGGGTGAATGCAGGCTTTCGCTGAAGCCTGGAGAGCGAGAGGGGTCGGTGCGCACCAACCCCTCTCACTCTCCTGGCTTCAGGAAGCTATCCGCAAGCCTTGGGAGCCCGCGGGAGTTCCTGCCGGGCTCCCTAGGCTTGCGGATAGCAGCCTGTTCTGGGGGCTGGGGTCGGGGGAAGCTCGGGCTTCCCCCATCCTAGCCCAGCGCCTGGGGGGAAATAATTTTTTTTCTTTATTCCCCCCCCCAAAAAAACTAGGTGCGCCCTATAGGGCGAAAAATACGGTAACAGTTAGGCGAATGTTGTGAAAGCAGACAGCAGAATTCTGCACCAAATTAATCCCCAAGTAGAGTGCATTGCAGTAATCCAAATGAATTGTTACTAAAGCATTATAATGGCAAGAGTCTGACTAGAGCCATTTTACTACAATATTTTTCTGCTGTTTAGACACTATTCCCCTCCGTTGTTGGCAATGAAACAGAAGGACATATGAGCTGAGAATGGGAAGATGTTGAGAATTAATTCTATTACTCTCACCAGTGTACAAAACAATGTCAAAAAAATCAATGCAAGTGAGCACTTGGTGTATTTCAAAAGAGCACCTCACAGTTTCACATCCGTAGGCTTCATGGATCTGATTGTCAGTTTTAAAAACTGTTTCCAAGTTCTTTCTCCTGACTTTTCAACAGACATATTAGGTGTTATTCAGGATGAAAGGCCAGGTACTTTTATTACAGCCAGAAACCCCAAGCACTTTAGATAACAAAGGGTGAGTTTCTCCTTACACCTTCAATGGCAGTAGCTTACTCTAGCAGCAAAGTATTTCCATGTTTTATCTTGGTCTGCAAAGAAGAAACGGGAGTAGTTTACTCCCCAAAGTGTTGGCATGCAACAGAAATACTTTCCTTCTGGAGGAAACAATTGCAGTTTGCGAGAGTAGATGGAAACAGGAAGATGGCAGTAGGGCTTAATCGAAAACATTTTTTGAAGTTATAATATTGAGATTGATTTCATCATATTGCAAGTAATTCCAGATAACTACACTCTTCCAGCCATGCTCTATCCTAGACCACTCCATGACACTGTTTGTTGGTGTGTGCATATATATCTATATATATCTGTATCTATAGATATATCTAACAGATCTTCTGCAGCAATTCTTTCAGTAAGGATATATGCAAGTAACATTAAGCACTTCGTTAGCTCAATGGGAGAAATAGGCTACAATCCTTTAATTTCCTGTGAGTGAGTTCCATTTAAAATACATAGGATATGCATAGGATTCTGCTGTTAGATGGACTGGAAAATACTCAGCTTTGAGTATGGTCCAGCCTGTGGTCCACTTGTCGTATACATGCTGTGAGTTATGCAATTAAGAAGTGGAACTGTTCCTAAAAAGATTTATTTGGTTTCCCAATTTCTGGCATGAATGCTGAAGGTTTTGTTTGTTTTGTGAAGGGCCATATTTTTCAGATTTTTTTTTAATAACTAAAAATAAACATTTTTCAATAATAAAAAAAAATTAAGAGGACAACAAGATGTAGAAGGAATGGTTCAAGAGCAGCTACCCAGAAAGTAGCCTAATAATGGCTACCAAATGACACTAAAGCAGGGATGGGGAACCTGTGTCCTTTTTGGGTATCGTTGGGCTCAACTTCCAACAGTTCTTGCCAGCTCAGCCAATAGTGTGTTTCAGTTATGAGCACTGCTGTGCAAATAAGCCCTTTGTACTAGGATGTGTCCATGCACATAAAACACAAAAATTCATGGGTCTACTGTCATAATCTTAGTATTTTGTAATTACAAGATACCACCTGCCTATAAGAGGAAAGAAGAGCGATGGAGGAAGGCAAACAACATCAGGTCTGCTCCAGTTGACTAACCCCCTCCAATAGGGACAGTTTTACGTTTCATAGTTTCATATTATAAACCACCTAGAATGCTTTGACAGAAAGTTGATGCATACATGCAATAAACACATACGTAAATAAAGCATAGTATACCTGAAATAGTCTAGTTTGCAGAAAACGTCTTTGTCTTTGATATAGCAGCTGGTGTGTCTTCCCAAAGAAGTCCTACATACACTGCAAGAGAGACACCGCACATGCCAGCACAAGTCATTTACCTATGAAAGGAGAAAGAAATTTTACATTCGGTAGCAGTGATTTAAGCAAACTATATAAACAGGGCTTGAAGAAATAAAGTTCACAGTAATACTTAGGACTCTCAAGTGTGAGAATCCACAGATCTAAAAAGCAATCACAAATGGAATTTATAATACTACTACTAGTAGTAATAATAATAATAATAATTTTACACCCAAGAGGGGCACAATTCATCGAGAAGTTCTCCACTACAAGCCCTACTGACACAAATGAGTCGTGCCAGAGCTCTGTTTAATGCAAGGAAGAAAAGCCACTTGTGGAAATCCAGAAACAGCTTCTCTCCCCAGAGGGACTGTGCATCTACAGTGACCGAACAGAACACAAAAGCATCTTAAGAGAGAACTGTTTTGTTCCTGTATTCCCCAATTTTATTCGAGGGGGTGGTTCTGTTGATTTTCCAGTCCTGCTCACACAATTCACCTGAATAAATAAGTTAGCAGCAATGGGTTATTTATTTTCATGCAAATGAGCAATAAGTATTCGTAAGTCAGCATGGGCATAAAAGACTTGAGGCAGAGGCCAAACATACAAATTCCGATTTAAATGTAAAGATGTGATTTTAAGGCACCTTTCAGAAGGAAACACACAAACTCTAGCTCCTGCTCTCAGGGTTTAATTTGCCTCTGGGCGAATTAAGACTGCAAGTGGCTGCAGTCTCACTGGTAATTTACCTTTGCTTACATAGCAAACAGATATACTGCAAAGTAATAAAACAAGCTTCTAAAAGGTAGAGAAGGGGCAAGTATTCTGGAGGGTGAAGCTCCCATAGGCCTCCTCCAACACCACCCCTGCTGGTCAGGCTATAACAAGAGTGACAGAATAAAAATATAAAGGTGTAGCCTTTACTTGAGCAATTTTCAATGACATATTACATGAAAATGAGCTAGCACAAACATGCCCCAAGTCAAAAGCTAGTCAAGACTTTGGACACAAGTTTATATTCAAGTTATTCAAGTTATTCTAGGCTTTAGAATAAGTGTTTGTGTAAGCTTTAACAGAACATTATGGGAAGAGGGCAACATAGCACGGATGACTATGGAGCTGTTTAATCCAGAAAGGCAGTATTAGCTGACACCATATCACCTTGAACTGCACTTAAGGGGTGAAGTTGCCCTGCAGAGCTTACCATTTAAAGCATGAGAAAGTGAAACACTTATTCAGCTGCTTGCTTATTATGAAACTTACCATGGATCATTCACAACCGTAGTGGAGGTTAGCTTGCTTGGCTACATTAAATGATGGAGTTGATGAATGATCCATGCTCTCAAACCAAACAGCCGATGTGCAATTGTTGTAGTTTATCACATAGCAAACTACGTATATCCTAGCTGCATTTATTACTTGTGCTGACAAGGTAATAGACACAATCAGAGTGAATTGTGTGAACAGACATGCTTTAATCCTCTGCTAGATCAGTGGCTCCCAAACTTTGCCCCATTGCTTTCTTCAACTCACCCCCCGTGCCCTCTATAGCCTATCTTATAAAAAGCATTATTCAAAACAGTGGTTTGCACAACCCACCAAAGATGATAACACAGTAAAACTCAAAACAGTAGTAATTTTATATTTATTCTGAAAATATAAAAAAATGAATTCATAAACTCTAAGCTTGTAATTTAAAGAATATATAGCAAACAATATTGCATGAACTTTTTTTATTGCATTATTAATAAAAACAAAAGGGTGAATGAAATCTATAGCCTAAAATATTTATATGTAGCTACTTACCAAACAAACACAAACTTTCACCTACCACAGATATACAGTAAGGGAATCAGTTACCTATTACCAATGATTGGGTACCTTGCAACAATTCAGAATTGCAAATAAAAACAAATGTGACCAAAGGAAATGGCTTTGAAAGTGATAAGAGCAATAAAACATGAAATACCAAGGTGGTGTTTTTTTGCTCTAGTGCTCTAGCCAGGCCTTTGTAAAGAAGCAATCAAAGGCTTTGGAGTGGCATAACGCCAGCACCCACCCTTACCCCCACGCCTCTTAGTCCCGTCCTCCCCGGGGAGATACCATCCACTTGGTGAACCACTGTACTAAGTTTTAATAGCAAGAATAAAGTTTTCAGAAAATTTGTAGCTCAATCGATTGTCACTTGGCGATTTGGTAATAACCCAAGATATAGAACACTAAATAGATATATTGGTTGTCCACTAAGCCATTTCAAAAATGCCAACAGCCTTACTAAAGAAACCCTATGAAACAAGAATTTAACGTTTGATAAAGTTAGAGGGATGATCAAATCAGCGAAGTCAGATGCTGAAGGAAAACTAATAGTCCTTGATGGTAATTCATCACTGTATTGATTTAAAAAATGAATTTTTAAAGTTCTCTGTTGTTTAAGGTACAGTGTTGTAACTGAAAGTTTGGAGTTTTGAATACAGTTTTGAACTACCTTTGATCACATAACAGTCACGTAACTGACTTACCATGACCTTCTGAAATGAGCACGATGTACACAAAAGATACATAAACAACATTGCCTAAGCCTTGAAACAGCATAAACAATCCTACCAACTGTGATTGAACCCTGCTTGCAGAGTTTACCATGGCCGATTGTCGGTGGTATTTGCTGTAACTGTATAAACATATTCCCCACGCTAGAAGAATTTACCAGTAAGCTACAATGCAACACTCCTGTGTTTGTTTCTTCAATAATGGGAAGAGGGAAAGAGTATTTGCCACATTGTTTTCCCCGAGTTGGAAACAAAGTCACATCAGTGAAAAAGATTAACTACCTAATTCACAAACAAGCATTATTCTCTCTCTGTGACTTCACCACCAGTGCTAGGAGCAGCAGTACGGAGGCCTATGGAACATGTTCATAACAACTGAAGTCAAAGAAGCACAGAGCTTCAAGGGTCCCCGAAATCATCTGCTCCAACTTCCCAATGCAGGATCCATGCCTCCAATGAAGGAGAGTCCATCAGCTCCCAAGGAACCATGCTACAGTGCTGAACAGCTCGAGAGGTTTCTTCTAATGCTGAACAGTTGCAATTTCACTCCATCTTGCACAACAGCCTCACGTCTCCCATTAACAGTCTCTCTTCTAGGGCGGCTAAACACAACCAGCTCTTTCAACCATTCCTCATAGGATTCGGTATCTAGACCCACTTTGATATCTGGATTGCTCTCCTCCGAGCACCCTCCAGCTTGGACCTCTTGATGTGCGGCACCCACAACTGGACACAGAACTCCAGATGCAGCCTAATCATCACAAGTTTGATCTGCAGCATAAACAATTAATAGTCCTATGTAGTATTACCACTTTATCCTTGCAGTCTGCATCATGTTACTTTTTAATCAGCAGTTGGAAACATTTTTGGGGACCTCAAGCTGTTTTATGCTAAGGGTTCACTCTTCATTCAAGGGTTTGACTAGGATCTGGAAGACTAGGATTTAAATCCCCACTTGGTCATGAAGCTCACTAGGTGGCCCTGTGCCAATCACAAACTCTCAGCCTAACCTACCTCCTACCTCACAGGATTGTGGTGAGAGAAAGAAGGAAGGGGGGGGAGAATATATACATGAGCTTGAGCTCCTTGGAGAAAAGGTGGGGTCCAAATGTAGTAGTAGAGTAGTAGCAGTAGTCATCGTCACTTCGGTCCAGTATATCTGAAGGAGTGTCCACCCCCATCGTTCTGCCCGGACACTGAGCTCCAGCGCTGAGGGCCTTCTGGTGATTCCCTCACTGCGAGAAGCCAAGTTACAGGGAACCAGGCAGAGGGCCTTCTTGGTAGTGGCACCCGCCCTGTGGAACACCCTCCCATCAGATGTCAAAGAGAACAACAACTACCAGACTTTTAGAAGACATCTGAAGGCAGCCCTGTTTAGGGAAGCTTTTAATGTTTGATGCATTACTGTATTTTAATATTGTTGGAAGCCGTCCAGAGTGGCTGGGGAAGCCCAGCCAGATGGGTGGGGTATAAATAAATTATTATTATAGCTAACAGGAATAGTGGTCAGGGATGATGGGAGTTGTAGTCCCAAAACATCTGGAAGGCCGAGTTTGCCTATGCCTTTGTTATACCAAACTTCAGATGACAAATATCCACTCCCATATTCTGTGTGCAGATATACTGTAATGCTCACACACAATAATTCCCCAAATGTACCATGTTGGCAAGATAAATCCAAAAATTATTTTTAAAATCTTGTTTCAGGCCTGCTTCCTAAATTCATCCTACATTAGCTGCCAGGCAATCACAGAACTTCTGGCAAACAAACAAGGAAGAAAGAAAGATGCAGAATAATCCCCTTTCAAATACAGAAGCCAGCAGTTGCACCTCCATAAGCCCATCCATATAATATTCCAATTGTAATCAAATATTAAGAATATCAAATGTAATTTCAGGTTGGCTTTTAATATCTGGCACCTCAAAAAAAAAAAAAAAAAAGCACCACAAGAAAATACATATCCAATTGAGATTCGTTTTCTGAGCTGGTGGTTATGATCACTGGGAATTTCAGAAATTTTGTTTCTTCATCCAAATTTTGAAAACTGGTAATTTACTTTTATGTCTCCAGCAAGCTTAAAGCAATGGAACACATTTATTTCTAATAATGCAAGTGCAATCTATTTTGAACACATAACCTCCTTAGGTTATCTGGCCAGGGTGGATGAATAATTAAAATTTTATATTCAGCCAGGAGAAGACCTTTTACTAAGGCACCATTTCATGAACCAGTCAGAATAAAATATATGCATTCTACAACAAGTGACTCTGCATTATGCTTCCAGATTTGTTTATATTCAACTTTCCACTTCAGATTTTAAAAGTATGGATGCTATTGAATGCTGCGATTCTACACACATTAACGTGAGAGTAAGTCCTATTGCAGCCAATGAAGTAAGCCCCTAGGTAGATATTTATTGTATTGTGTTTGTAAAGTGGTATTTAAGGCACTTCAGGAGTGAGCAGGAAAAAATTAAGCTGTTTCCTAGTTTCAGCATGGCCCAGATTTGGAGCCTCTTATAGGAATCTACTGACAAACTCAAGACAGTCTGATGATTGTGAAATCCAAATTATCTGGCTTTTTACAACAAAACCAGACTTCAGTTTTGATTAGTGCCTACTAACCCTTGATCTAGTGCACATATGACATTTATAAGCCAAAGAGGAAACTTCACTTGAGTAAGGCAGCATTTAAAACCTGCAACATAATTCTGAGTTTGAATTTGTCAAAACAGTGGCCCTGTTTTGTAGCAAGTATGTGCACTAAACAAATGATCCTAAATATAACACCAAAGGTTAAGACTAGTCCAGTAGTCAAGGAAACCAATTTTGACTGCAAAGAAATAGTGTTGCAAATTCAGTGAGCAAATCTCCCTAAATCTGTAGTGATTTTAGCTTTCAGATTTCTCAAATATCCAAGTGAAATAAGTTACTGTATTTCTAGGAGGAGGGTGGGAAACCTCTGCAAAGGCCAATAACATTTTCTAGTAGTACTTTTTGAAGGTGATTCCCTGCAAAAGAGCATTTAAAAAACCAAACTCGTTCAAAAGGTACTATTGACCCAAGAAGCGTGCTTTTTAAGTAACTTTTCATTGATCACCTGCTGGAAAGCACAATCTCTCATCGTCCAGAGTGTCTATCAGGAGGTGAACCTTTCAGGAGAGCAAAAAATCTGTGACCCTGGCGGACAGATTGGCCTTCCTTGAAGCCCCAGCCGTGAGCTCGAAGCCCATTCATTTCCCGCTCCAAGGCCCAGGCTTGCAAGGCCCGCCAACTCACCTTGAGAAGGTACTTGTCGATTATCTCCTGGCCGCAGCTGCTGCAGATGCACTTGCTGGGCGCGCATCCGCCCGGGCCCGAATTCAGCGAGCGCGGAGAAGACGAAGAAGGCGAGAGAGGCGTGGACGGCGAGCACGAATCCTCGTCTCCGGCAACCTCGGGGCTCACCTGCCACACGGACACGAGCGGATTAATACACACGGGCCTGTTTCCCTCAGGAGCCTCTCCGAGGTAACTCTCGTCCTCTCCCCGCCGCCCAATCATTAGATCCAGCTGCCAAGGCGAGCGCTCCCTCAAACCAGCCGCCTCAGCCGAGGTTCCCCGCCAATACTATTGATAAAATAACGGATAATAGGGAGAGGAGCTCCCCCTCAGTTCCTACTACGGTTGAATATTCTCTCCCTGGAGCCCTTCTTCGTGTCTGTGCCCCTTCGCCCTCACAAATCTCCCTCAGAAGAGAACCCAACCCGACCTGAAGGCCACCCAGTGACTGCCCTGACTGGGTCGGGGCAGGTGGGAGAGACCGCGAGGCCACGCGCCCGCCTGGCCGCCTGCTAATGCCCCGTTCCCGCCTTTCTCGCGCTGCCCGCACACAAAGAGTCCCCTGTCGCCTCAGAGACGCCGTCTCTCCTTCAGCTCCCTTCACGGACTAGGAGGAAAGTCCCTTTCTCGTCGCTCCATCCCACCCGCGTCTCGCTGACTTACCAGCCCAGTTTCTCCCGCGCTTTTCCGTCTTCTCCCAGTCGCGGTCGCCGCCGCTGCTGCTACTGCTACTCGCCCACACTCCTCAGCCATGAGCCTCGGGAACTGCGAAGAAAGACCAGACGGCTGAGCTCGCCGAAGGCCGCCGAAAACTGAGGCTCGTCATAGGAGAAGGAAAGAGGGGCTGCCGACCATCCTTCCCTCCCCTCCAGCCAAAACTAAACGGCGGCAATTAAGGGGCGAAGTCGGCCCCGAGGCATAAGCGCTTCAATGGGGCCCTTGAGCACTAATTGCCGCTCCTCCAGCAGCAGCCCAAGACCTCGCCCGCCCGGCGCTCGTGCCGGGCACGATTTAAATGAAAATGCCTCAGCTTGCGCGGCCTCCAAATACCCTCCGCAATTAAGCCCGCCTTGCCACTTCCAGCTTGGGGCCTCCGAGGTGTAAATTGCCACTTAAGCACTCGAGCCGAAGTCAACAGGCCGAGGGGCTGCTGCTTAGACTCGAGGATTTATTTATTTCGTTAAGCTGAGGGCACAAAAAAAGGGGGGAAGAGGAAGAAGGGAACGTCACCAGAAGAGAAAGGAGGAGAATAGAAACCAGCCAGCTGAATTTAATTCGGGGGGTCATTAAACACAATGGCCCCCTTGGCCAATTTGGAGGGAGGGCGCGCGCTTGATGAAGCCGTTTGGCGCGGCCGAGGCCGAGCGAGGCGAGGGACAAAAGCGCTCGCGCCAACTCCGCCAGGGCGCTGCGCTCGCCTCCATTAGGCGCGCGGAACAAAGCCGGCGCAGGGCGACCCTCGGCCCGTCAAGCCCGCGCCCAAAGCCCCCTGTAGCTAAGCAGCCGACTCTATCCAAAGTCGCAGTGCAATCCTGAACCCGATTACTGTTTCCAATGGAGCTTTGCTCCCTGGCAAGGGATGCCACCTCGATGCGGATTAATTACCCCGCAATCCCAGCGGTTAGTCAGTGAGGCCGAGTGTGGGAGAGCTTCGGGAACAGATGCATTTCCGATCCACCTGAATCGCCAAGATGAAATGTGAGAGAGATCATCTGGAGCGGAGGTAGCGGGCACTGCGCCCTCCTACATCATCCCTGACCATCGGGCGCCATAGCCGGGGCCGGGGCGAAACGGAGCCCGACCCGATCTAGAGCGCCCCGATCCGGGGTATAAATGGGTCTGCCCAGAGTAGCCTCGTGGAAGGAGGCAGAGCTAGTTTCGGGGACACTTTCCTGACCCCGCGTAATAATTTTATCCAGGTTGCAGCTAGTCCACCGGCTCCTTGCTTTGCCGAAGTCTTTGCGACTGAAGAGGCTGCGCGCCATCCACCGTCCCGGGCCTACACAGAAGCCAGCCCTGCATGTTTCTATGGGACTTGCTCCCCACCGGCGTCTATAGATGCAGCGCACGATTTGACATTTCCCATGCGCAGGTAAGCAGTATAAAGTACAATGGAAAGAGGCAGGAAGGTTACAGCAAAAAAGGGGGGACACTATCCCCCAGAACCCTTAAAAAGCCAACCCAACAGGCTGTACTCGAGCCCTTGCAAACAATTTGCTCTGGTTTAAATGTCTTTTCGTTTTGGCTCAAGCAAGGCTTCTATTTCCATCTGTCATGGGTACTTTAGTTGAGATTCCTGCATTGCGAGGGGGTTAGCCTAGATGACCCCCAGGCCAGGGGTCCCTTCCAGCTCTACGGTTTTATGATTCCAGTGAATAAGTATATTGCATTCATTTTTAGAATTCCTTGAACAGAGACTAGGAAATGCGGCGGCCCTTGAGGGTTTGGCTCATGGTCTGGTTCAAGGCTGCTTGCGATCACTTACCCCGGAGTAGCCCCATCGAAGGCAATCGAGCTAGTTTGGAGGATTCTGCCGCGCCGATCGCCACAGATGTACGGGGGGGACCCAAAACCGCTGGAATTAACTGCCTTTTAAAAGAGGGGTGAACGGGAGGCAGATACGGGTCTGCTGGCAGGTCTTTGGCTTGCAAAGGACTCCTGGCTATCAACTGCTGAGCAGCAGCAACGAAAAGACTTGCCCACCCCCTCTAAATTATGCTGCCGACAGGGAGGGATGTATGGATGCGTTGGTGGGTGGACCGACCACGAGCTCCCATCAGTTCTGATAAACTCAATGCAGATTCTTTAATTCTAAACGGTTTGGCTTTGGCACCAAAAGAAAAAGAAAAAGTAGGTCATGCAAGCCTGACGTCTGTCACTCGCTTGCTTTAGGGACAGTTCGAAGCGAAATCGAGGCACGGTAAAAAAAATCCTCAAAAGCCAGCGATGCCTTAAGGGACTACTCCGTTGTATGAAGTCGAAGCGGCGTCCTTCGTAAGAAGTGGAAGCGGTGTCAGTCCTCCGTGCACCAAATATTCGATTTCTCTCTTTCCCCTGCGGACGTTTCCTACTAAACTTGTTTTCGTGTGCTCGCGCGCGCTTTTCTTTATTTCTTTTTTTTCCTTTTCAGCTGGAAATTCAGGTATTTGTTTATATTTTAGATCTACAGTTAAAAAACAAAAAAACAAAACCCGTAGCTTTCCACACACAGACACACCAAGTAAAGGGTGTCAAGCGCTTACAGACGTTAGGTGGAACCGTGCCAATTTGCCTTCAGGAGTGGAAGGGGAAATCGCTTCCACCACACGAAAAAGCGCATTTCAAAGGAAGAGGAGGGGTGGGGGTGGGGATACTTTACAAAATTACGAAATGTAATTAAAATTAAAATTACATTTGGGGTCGGCGGAATTCCTGGACGGGTCTTAAGCTGCGATGAGCAAACCGCTTAACGCGAAATATTCGGCCCCCGCTGCAATGAAATGAAACTACTCCGGAGCAAAGGGCATAGCAGCTGGTATCTCTGGGGGCAAATTTGGATCCACTCCACTTTTACACAGACTGCGAGGGAGGCAATCCGCTTAAGGAAAAGGGTCTCTCGTCTTCTCAGGGGGAAGAAGAGGCAGCGGGCTCACCTTTTCCGTCGCGAGGCGAAGCGCAGGCACGTCTTTGTCGTCCAGTTTACACACAAACATCTGGTTGCTCTTCCAATACATGGCACTGGGCTGCGAGCGCTCCTCACATACCAACTCCAAAAGGACGGAGCCCCCACTCCCTCCCTTTCCGCGCAGGAGAAAAAGAAAAAGGGGAAAAAAGCGACTTGGGCGAGTTTTGAAAAGTATCAAGGAAAAGATAGCCAACGCCCGGCCCTCCTCGTCGGCCTCCAGTCCTTGCTCCCCCTCGTCTTCCCGAGCTCCCTACCCGACTCCACTGATGTCAGACCCTGGAGGGGGGGAAAGTTTTGTTTTCAAGTGGGTGGAACCTCTTCCCGCAAAAGCCTCTTGGCTGGCTGCTGGAGCCTCACCTCCTCGTGTAAAACCCGCCTTCTGTACATGTTCAGATCTTTATCGCTACAAGCAAGCGCGCTCCAGGGAGCGGGTTTTTTTAAAATATATATATATATATATAAAAGGAGAAGTGTGTGTGTCGGGGGGGGGGGGGAGAGAAGCACAGGAGTATGCTAACTTTGGATTAGTCACTTCACCTCTCTCTCTCACCCACCCACCCACCCTGCTTTCTCCCCTCCTCCTTGCCAAACCTTGCGCTTTCTATGTCCGGGGAACCCAAGCCAAGGTGGAGGGCGCAACAGGCAATCGCGTGGCTTCCACCATCCATAATCGCAGCAGCAGACATTGCATAAACCTGGAGTAGAGAGAGAGAGGAACTGCGTTGGCCTCAGACGGTTCTTTATCACTGTGATAAACGCCTCTGCCATTAAGGGGAAGCGGTAGAACATCTGAGGAACCCCAACTCCGATTGGGGAAGGGAGAAAAGAATCAGATCGCGGGGAAAGCTAACTAACTTACAAAGTCTTGCGCTGGCGGGGTGGGAGGTCGGCGGTCGTGGAGTGGGAGACTGCCCCGGACGCTCCCTGCTTGCTAAATTCGGTTTATCTCTCTTAGCTAGAGGCGCGACGTTTTCTTGACAGGGCGAAGCAGATCCCAACAAGGGCCGCGATGTCCCAAAGGACCGCTGCACCTTACGCCAAGCGAGCCAGTTTCTGTCAAAGCAGGGGGCGACGGTCCGGTGGCTTCGCGTTGACTGTTTCTCGGAAAGCGTGGAAGGCAAGTCCCCCCCCCCCCATGTGTCATTCATCTTTTTTAAAAAAACAACAACACCTCTCTTCTCTTTTCTCCCTAGCCGCAAGGGGAATGGCCAGCGATTCGGGGATCGAAAGCTGAAACCAGATTTCTCCGTCGCTGAGGTGAGTTACCACATTTATATTCCGGAGACCGGGATTCGGATTTTTCCAACGTAGTGTCTGAATGTCTGGGTGTTCTTTCAGCAAGTTTTACTTCAGATTTGCCAGTCCTATTCGCGAGGTCAGAGGGAAATAAAATGAGCACCCAAACATGCATGATCTGATGAAGTGGATTTAAGTCCATAAAGGCTTGGAGAGCATAATAAATATGACAGGTCTTTACGAGCTTCATCTTGAGTAGGGAGAAGTCCTTATAACCTTTAGTCAAATTTACTTCTAGTTACGCGTGCAGAGAATTCTATCACATCTCATCCTTATTTCAAAAGTAAGTCTCAGCGGATACAGTGGGGCCGATTCTGTAGTTACAGCCTCTGGTTTAGATCCTGATCATCTTAATTTGACAGCAGGTTGGGCTGCTTGTCCCAAGCAAACGCTTTTGTAGGATCGGCGAGCTACACCTTGATCCTGTGCACGTTTGTTCACCAGTAAAGGCTAGAAGGGCTCGCTCCCTCCCGTGGCCGCGACTTTAGCCAGAGCATCATTCCTTTCCAGACCACAAACAACCGCAGATTCTGTACAATCCTAAATCGCCTCTCTCCTCCTCTTCCCCATCTGAAAATCTCTCCTCGGTATGACCTCATGGATGGAGCTGGTGGTTGTTTGTAGATTTATTTTCTTCTCTCTTTTTTTGCCGCGTGCCGCGTGTCTTTCTTCTAACCGGGCTCATAAAATAGATACCCGGGAGGGCCGCATAGGTGCAGACAGTGCTGCTCGCGAGTTAACTGCCACGGGGTCTATTGGAGCTTTTATTCCACAGCAAGCGTGCCTAGGATCGCAACCCCATAGCCGCGAAATAGAGAGCAAATGCAGAGAGACCCAACTTTGGACGAGGACCACCCCACTTCCCCCGGGCTTGGATGCCTCTCAGAAGTTAATGAGACGTTAAATTTGGAGACAAGCCTCCCTAGGAAGGTGAGTGTGCTTTTCTGGAATCCCGAGGCTACAGCCACTGGCGCTAGCTAGAGCGGCTGATCCAAGCAAGTCGCGCGCCGGCGGGAAAATCCGCGGAGCGCAGCGAACCGTGGCTCTCAACATTCCAGGCGACAAGAGCCTAGACGCGTTTGGAGGGATGATCTCAGGACGGGGCAAACCGGCGCGCTGGCCTAGGCGCAACTGACTGAGCCTGCTGCGGGCAGAGAGAAGCAGACGTGGGCTCCGGATCGAAGTTAAGTTTCCAGGGCTGCCGGCCAAACTAGCTACCCCCTCTTCTCACCTCCCTATCCCCAGGGTTTCTTTCCATCATATATATATATATATATATATATATATATATATATATATATGATATATATACCATTTATATATATGATATATATACCATTTATATATATGATATATATATCATATATATATATATATATATATATATATATATATATATATATATATATATATATCCCCCACCCGGCCACGTTCACCTTCAATCAGGTTTGAGAAACAGAATCTTCATCCAAAATTTAAAAATGGCTCAGCTTGCTGTTGTAATTAGCTCGGCATCCTATAGAAAACATCTGGCCCAAATGTGGGCTGTCATTTGCCAGCCTCGCTTGGTCAAGCCCCCAAAAACCCAGATTCCGCGATCTTTCCCGACATATTGCAGGACGAGGGTGGGGGAGTTAAAAATGCCCCAGTAACCTGGATAGGGAAGAGGTTATTGCAGGTGATTCAGTGGATCATCACCATCGTTTATGCGACGTCCTTGCTTTCCATTTAGGAAACTGAAAGAAAATATGCTGGAAGATAGCTTGCTCTTTATTACAAAATGCGCAGTTTGCATTCATTCGGACTTTTATTTATCTGCTGTATCTCTTTTCACTCCCAAGACTCGCTGCCGGTTCATCATCTTCCATCGTTTCCATATTTCTTCCATTAAATCACCCTCTTGGTGGGTCTGCTCTTGTTTTTGAGGCTATTATTAGCCTCCTGCCATGGCTCGAACGCGAAGCGATGGGAGGACCGCCAAAGCTCTGATTCACCCGCTCCTTCCCAGCAGTATTGGCCATGCAGCCCTCTCCACCCATCGCGGAAGTCGTATAGGCACTTCCGGAGGAGGGCCAAGGGGGGTGGTGGCATTTAACACCACGAAAAGCAGGCTAATAGGTCTTCTCCTTTGTGTCTGCATGAGAAATGTGTCTATATGAGACAGTTACCCTTAAACAAGGGGATGCAAAATCCTCACACACACAACTGAGCAATGTTGGTGATGTTGCCGTTGCCCTCCTCCACTGTAAGCCACAAACTTTTTGAGTGTGTCTTGGGATCGGATTGAGATAACTCCATACTTGGTTTGGAGGCTGATTTGCAATAACCCAATAACCTTCCTGTTATATTGGCATCCTAGTGTACCATACTCGCAGTGTATAGCCAAAACATTGGCCTTGAAACTCAGCAAAAGAATGGGGATTGATTTGTTTGTTTGTTTGTTAAGGCACTTTAACTAACTCACTCAGGGGGTTGGATTAGATGATCCTCGGGTTACCTTCCAACTCTACGATTCTATCGCCTGGGTCTTCTTTTGCCCATCGCCCAGCAGAGGAGAAACACGTGTTTGGGGCCTTCACCTGAAAGGTGCAAGCAATTACAGCCCTGGAAGGAGCCTCCCAGTTTCCCTGGGAGGTCTCAGACTTCTTTAATCTGTCGAGAAAGGACTAATGACTGGTGCGGGACGGCGAGATCGGAAATGAGATAGAATCAAGGGGAAATAATTTGGACACCAGGAAGCCTGCATTTAAGCTGCTTAGAGAAGAATCGTGCTTTAATTTTAGGACTCCGCCTTGGGCTGCTTTCTCTCCCCTCCCACCCACCGCGGGCATTTCTGGGGGCACCGTTAACCCTGTAGGTGCCTAGCGTTGTAGTCTGGTTTCCTTGTGTTGGGAAAAGCTTTGGTGCTGCCACCAGATGCAGAAATGTGTGTCTTTTATCTGTAGCAATCCTTATGCTCGCCACCTGCTATGACTACCCTGCAGTCCGCTCTGCCCACTGACTCGGATTCTGTGGTGATTGCTTGTAAGTATGTATGCAAAGCATCGATCCCCAAAACACCTACGTGGACGTAAGTCAGTCCGTGGATCGCCACTGCAAACAATTCTGCTTTATCTGACTCTCCCCAAGACTTGCTTCAATCATTTCAGAGACGGCCAACAATTCCCAACAAGGTCTCCTTAAGTTCTTGAGTCGTTGAAGACATATTAGCAAGCGGTAAAGGTTTAAGGAGATTTGAGGGGTGCTGCCGAAAGAGGTTAAAACAACTCGGTTCATTTTTTCCTCGGGGTTTCTCCTCCTCTCTGTCCTCGGATTGCCCTTTCTTATCTGCAAATGATAAGGAACGTCTGCAAAAGGGTGCGAAGCCTGCTTTTAGCACCCGATCAGTCCACGATTTATACAACAACAACAACGACAAAATCTGGTTGCAAGGGGGGTCCCAGCAGGAGTGTGGGGAAAGTTGCAAAATCTAAAGTAAGCGGAAGATCTTTCAGCCAAAAGTTGCAACCTTAAGTCCTAGGGAAATCAGTGACAAGATTCAAGTAGTATGAGAAGATATTGGAATCTGCAAGACATTTCTGACTGCGGCAAACCTTTCCTGAATTCTTCCCATTCATTAGGATGATTGCTGTGGATTTTGTGCAAGAATTTGGAAAACAGCGTTCAAAGCAACAACCTAGAACATTTAAAGCATGTCCGGATGGCATTGCTGTAGTGTGCTTTTGCCTTCTCATCCTTTACCGGTTTACTCTGATGTAGATCTCATTGTGTGCAGTGGAGTTTGTTCCCAAAGAAGTGGTAAGGCAAAAAAGAAAAAAAGATGGAGGGGTTTAAAGTGCATTTCTATCCTGGTTCCTACCTAAATGCTGAGGGAAAGCCTGCAGGAAGATGACAGGACGACCTTCTAAGGTCGAAAACCACATTGCCGAACGTGTTGAAAACCCGATGGGATCTGGAAAGCGGCGTTGGAAAGCCTGCCCCGAGATTTCCAAACAAAAGTTTTGTTTTCTTCTTCTTTTCACTGTGCTTCGTTTTTCACATGGCGCAAGATGTATTCTTGTGGGTATTTCTTATTCTCCAACGCCCTCCTAAAATCGTTCGGCAACGTGGGGAGAATTTGGAAAAGCAATGGCGTGCCAGGGTCCGCCTCCCTACAGAAATAAAACCAACATTAAAACAAACACACAAAAAGTCTTGAACGTATTCGTTAATAATAAACAATAAAAATAAATAAAAATAAGCTTGCGTCAATAGATTCGGATTACAGTGGTCAAAGTATATCAGGTCCAAAGGAGAGAGATGGAGCGTGGTCTTTACAACTGGCTAGTGCCCAAAATTATTCCATACTTTTGTCAAATACATTTCGAGGAAGGGAAAATAATGCCAAAATCTAGAGAAATCTTCTACTTTCTCCCCAAAGCGATATTCAGAACCCAATGCATCTAGAAATCATGTGGCTAATAGTGAATCTGATGGCCACTGGTAAACATTTACTTGAAAAAATAATAATTCAAAGCAACTATACGCCCGAGCGAGCGAGCTTCAAACCGTAGCTCAATTCCAGGCGTTTGCCGCTGTCCCCTGTAAAAACTGGAGTGGGAGAGAGAAATCTGATGAAAGCTTATCAGTTACAGTTGGTTGACAAGGAAAACGCTGCTCACTCGAGGAATGCTAACTGCATATTGTTGCTGCGCGCGTGTGCGAACACATTGTTGATAGTCCTAAGAAATTATGTAGGGAACTTGCAGACTCTTATGGTTTGTGCTTTTGAGTTGGGGTCAGTTTATTTTAAAAGTCGACTGAAATACATCTCCGTTGTCCTGATTCTGAATTGGACAATTTAAGATGCCATCTTTTTATACCTCCCGCCACCATTTTTGAAATTCTATATCAAGTGTAAACAACAACAACAACAACAAAAGACGAGGGAAGAAGATAAAGGAAGGGGGGAAAAGGAGAATTTTCCTATTGTTGGGAAGTGCGGAAGTGCGTGGGTTGTGCGCGCATTTTCATATAACGTGGGTCTTTCTAATGGCTTTCAGCAATAATTCTGAATGCTGAAGAAAGAGGAAAGAATACTGAATAATTTGGGTGGAATATTTTTGCATATTGTTTTGGTGGCTAGCTCAAATCTTCCAAAATGCAGCAGGCAATACTTATCGGAACGGGTGTTGGGGCGGGGATGCAATATTCCACCCCATTATATTTTGGTCTGACTGCAGCTTTTCCCTCCCTTTTACAATAAAGGCCAAAAGTATACCTTTTTGTGTGTATAACGTCTTCGGTCGAGTCAGTTGCAAACACCGCTGAAATTGTCAACCAATACGACTCCCTAATATCGTTTAACTAAGGACTAAGAACCAAGTCTTTAGCTGCCCTGCGCAGCCCGATCCTAAGCAGCGTTAGAGGTGCCACTGAAATCACAGCGCGGCAACTGCTACTAATGTTCATGTTTTGAAGCTCATGTAAACGCAGTTTGGGCTTTTGGTTGTGTGTTTCCTAGCCCAGCTCATAGGCTGGGTTCTCTGCACCCCGTTACCTACAGGCGTAAATTCTTTTTGTCGGTGAAACTTCGTGCCTCAGTGAATCTTCCACTTGGATATTTGTTGTTGTTTTGGGAGGAAAGGCCTCCTGAGTCCAGCAGGGCGTGCTTTCGAGGCGGATTACATAGGACTGTAGTAGTAGTGCATGTCTTTTCAGAAGTAAATTCCATGGAATTGGTCCCCCCCCCCATGAAAAACCTGGCATTAAAATGAGCAGGAGCTAATGGTATTCCTTCGAATCGTGTGCAGGAGTCGTTTAATTGGGGGACTTTATTCTAAATAGTCAAATGATGGGTTGGATATTGATAGGCAGAAAGTAACAGTACTTTCGCTTTCCACCGGATCCTCGTGCAATACCCAGTGTTTGGAGGTTTTAAAATATTTGTTTACATTCTCTCTTTGTGCTTCTCTAGAGACTGAAGGAAAGTCTCCAGAGACTGAAGCAAAGGATAGGTTTTTGTTTAACCTTTATTCAGATTAGTTTCTAGGAAGATTGGTTCACAACATTTGCACTATAATAGAGTAGTGCTTAACTCAGCATGACCACTTTACTGATCAATAAAAACCACTCCTTTCCTAAATATAAGCTTTATTTGGCACTCCTTTAATTGCAATGGAATTCACTTCGGTCTTACAGTCCAATGTAAAATATACAATCCCATCATTTGCAAGTTTATATTCAGCAGGGAATTCCACTGAATTCACTGGGATTTCCACTGAATTCCAATCTATACATACTAATGGCACAATCCTGTATGTATCAACTCAAAAGTCAATTCAGTGAAGAAACTTACTCCCAGGTAATTGTGTATAAGGTTGCAGCTTAGCTTTTATGTGCCGACAATTGGGCTGCCTGTGATGCAAATAAGTGATAACAAAGACAAAATAAAATGGTCTCTTTCAAAATGCCTAACTGAACAAATTAGGGATTTCTGAAATAAACTCCCTAAATCCCATTGCCTGTGTAATTAGACTGCAGTATTTCCCTGTTGTGTCCAACATGAAACCCACAATTCTGTTGCAAAAGTAGTAACCGTGCAAAGCAATGCATATTTATTCTGAAGTAGAATTTACTCCCTATTAAATGTGTTTATGATTGTAGCTTAGGACTAAGTAAACATACATACGATTGCAACTGTGAATGTCCTCAAATCTGTACCATAGGATGAAAGCAAAAGATGTGGGATTCTCCCATCTTAGCTGTAGGTACCATTTTCTCCTTGCTGGAGCATCATAATAATCTCTGCTAGGAGAACAAATTGTGTGCAAATGATGCTGTGTTGGTCCTGAGATGCGCACAAGAGTCTTATAAAAGTAATGTCGTATAAACGTCACGTAAAAGCAAATGACAGGTAGGATTGGGGCCTAGATTTAGAGCAAGGTATAAACATGCATTGCCATTTAGCTGAACTTGTGGCAAACCAGGATTATGCTTCCACATGGCAGTTTATTGCGGACTCAGGGCTGATCATGCATGCAGGTTTTGTGCAGAAGCCACATGATGTTGCCCTCATTAAAGTACCACCTTATATATTCCTCCCCATTTATTCTAGATTTACCTTTTCTGGGGATGGGGGGGGGGACTGATAAGGTTAACTACCCAGCCCCCTAACAGAAATTCTGGATTAAAGGGTGGTAGCAATGTGTAGCAGGGAAGAAAATATGGGGTGGCAGTTGGATGAGGATGTCTTCATGCGGATGCTGGGGGCGCGGGGAATGCTTGCATGCATGAGCACTACAGAGTCCATAATAAACTGCTGCGTGGAAGTGCCCTGAGTCTAGATTTGCTGGAGGGAGCAGGTGGTGCTCAGATTTGAAACCAGTCTGTAGTGTCATAGGTTCTATCCCATAATAGATAAAATAATAATATAGATTCTTTAAGGATACGCAGGCAAATTTTCACTTACCACTGAGCAACCACGGCCTCCCTGCCTTACAGAGTCAAGCCACCCTTCTAATTGGTACTAATCTGTGTAATTGCAAGCTCAAGAAAAATGATGGAAAGGAAACAGGTGAAGGAGAGAAGTATATCTGCATAAAGCACCCAATCCAGATTAAATTAGTGTGCTTAAATCACAGCCCTACGTGTATTTACTCAGAATCAGTCCTACTCATTTCAGCTGGTAGCTATGTGTACATAAGACTCCATCATATATCCCATTGAGTTTATAGAATTGCGGCTGATGAACTTTCAGCAGATTGTTTACTGGGGCAACCGTATTTATTCTCCCCAAATTGCAGAGTGACTTTCAAAGTTTTCACATTACGTCATGACTTTTTAAAGTTATTTTTCACCAGCAAAAATAATTGTATAAAAAGCAAAATGTTAACAACACGAAAGGCACATTGCTTATATAAAAATATTTGTTAATCAGTGGTACGGGGGGCGGGGGTGGTGAGTGATGAAGATGTGTTTGCTGTGTATTTGTGTGTATGTATACATACTGGCAATGACATACTGGCAATGACAACTTGTTTGGCCCCCTTTTGTGAGCACGCTATGGGGTGTCTAGATTTCCCATTTCCTTCAACCCAAATATGCCAGGAACTCACCCCCAGTTCTTCAGGGCAGATTAAATTTGTCATCCCTATGCCAGATAAATTTCTCCCGTCAACCAAGTTGTGTAATAAGTTAACATATGAAAAGACAGGAATGCAGCCATTGTCTAAACTAAACCATATTTGATGGATGGGCCCAAATGATACTTCTCCTGGCAAAGGTATATGTCTATGTGTGGGGTGGGGATTAGCTTGCAATGATTCAATGAAGCAGGCAGTGGAAAAACACCACACCAGAGAATGAAGAGAACTCTGGGGCTTTAGCCAATTGAGAGATGGATACAGCCCTGAACCTGCAATTTAGGACAAATGAAAAGGAAAACAGGTCTCCTGCGTCCTTAGTAGTAGTGGGGAGTTGAGTCTCTTGAAAGAATTCCCTCTTCTGGACAACTATTCAAGCAGAAGATTCCTGTCATCTTTATTTAAATTATTTTTAACCTGGCCACTCTGCTGGAGTTGATTCATTACAAATTGGCTCGAAGCATTGTGTAGTTAGAAAGTCACTGTGATGTAGTGGTTGGCTCAGGTAAGAAATGTGGTGTGACTGAAATTGGGCCTAACCGTTTGGTTGTGCTTGCTGGTGCTGATGGGAGTTTGTAGTCCAAAACATCTGGAGGGCCTATTCCAGGGTTAGAATGCTGGCCTGGGACCTGGGAA